CCTTCTTCCTTCTTTCTTCACCACCCTTGGTTGGTCCCTTTCAATCCCTTGGCTCAGCTCTGCGGAGTTTCCTCACCAAAGACACAGGAAAACAAGTGCCAACACTTCAACAATCACTTCAGTTTTCAATTGATAAAGCAACAGTAAAGAAAAGCTTTTCAGACACTTGGGAAGAGTCCATCCCACTTTAACTAGTTTGTGGGACTCGTTCCCAGCCTCCTGAGCTTCATTTCCCACCTCACTCGGGGCTGCAGTACACCTGGTTCTACACACACACACAGGGAGCTGCTGCTCCTGCATTCCAGTCTCCTGGTTCCCCTTGCAACTCCTCCAGCTGTTTGCCCAGCTCTCCAGTGCCCATTCCTTTGCCCACTGCACTTGTTCACAGCCCCAGGGCTCCCAGGGCCACCCTGGGCTCTCCCCTGCCCTGACACTCAGGGCCCTTTCCCAGCCCCGACTCCATCCAGCACTGACACAGCTGCTGCACCTGCAAGTCTCCTGCTCCTGCCCTCCCTCTGCCTGCAAAACACCCCTGGCAGCTCCTGCACCCCCACCTCTTACCTCCCAGGAAAACACAGCTGCATCCTCCTGGATCCTCCAGCTGGATGCTGCTGGCTCTGGGCAGCTCCCACCCTTCAGCAGGGGATGCCAAAGGCAGCTCTGGGGACTGTCCCGAGGGCAGGGACACCCACTGTGGCTCACACCAACACTCAGCCAGCTCAGGCCTGGGCTCTTCTGCCTGCAGGGCAACAAACAGCCAAGCAGGGACACTGGGACACTCCAAGGAAACAGGGACAACACACTCAGGAGCCTGGGACACCACAGCCCCCAAACCTGCCCAGGCTCCAGCTGCTGCACAGACCTGTGGCCACACAGGACCCAAACCCACCCCCAGCACAGACAACCCTGGGCAGGTCAAGCTGCTCATTCCCAACCACAACCAAACATCCAGTGCCACTGTCTGCCAGCCCCTGCTCCCAGCAATCAATCACCTTTCCCATTTCCTTTCTTTACAGCTCCTTGCATTCACATTCTACTATCAAACCATGATCAGCAAATTTAGCTCTTACTAGAACCAATCCAGCTTGGCTCCCTAATTCTAGAGGATACTTGGTTTGCCTTACCAGGAGAGACTCTGGCTTAGGGGTAATTCTTACAGGTTCTGTCCTTGTCCATTTGCTTGGAATTCCACTGGCCCACACGACAGGAACAACTGCAGCTGCCACTTCAGTCAGGACCTTGCTGCCGACAGGAGTTATTATCCCTCTGTAAACACCAAACTGCTTCAATACAAACAATCCAGTGGACACTACAACTCCTTGGCACTTTCAGTGGAACCAGTGCAAGTCAGTTGCTAAGTTACACAAGGTTTTCTTCTAAAGTTGTAATTAATTAAGACATCCAAAAAACAACCACTGTGAGATAAGAGATCCCCCCTATAGTTCTACTCTTAGGGAAAAAAACCAAACCCCCCTCCCCAGGGCTGCAATAGCTCAGGCTCCCAGAAAGGCCCAGGGGCTGGGCTGGGCTTTTGGCTGCCCTGGAGCACAGGCAGGAACACGATGTCACCACCCCACGGGCACAGCTGAGAACCCAAAGAGCAGCCACACCAGCAGCTCCTGCCAGCCCTGCTGGGCTGGGCCTTGGGGAGGAAGGACACTGGCCTTTCTTCCTGCCTAGGAGCAAAGAGCCTCCTTGCTGAGCACTTCTCCTGCCAAGGGCATCAGCTCAGATGGGAAGTTCATCAAGGGCAACTTCCTGGAATGAGAAACATTCCTGTTACCTGGACAATCTCTTTCCAACTGAACTCAGAAGTACACACAAAACTTCAGGTGTTACCTAAAATTTCTTACAAGAACCTCTGAGACTCAAGTGGTGAGTTTTAGAAGCCAGGCAATCTTTTATTCCTATGCTCTTGAATCATTCCAGCCCACCAGGGGCTCTGGCAATCAGCTCCCAAAGGGCACACAGAGCTATCTCCACTGCAGCTGATATGGCAGCATTACAGGAGGATTCATTTTCCTTCCCTGCATTCCTGTTCCACATTCAGGACATTTTCCAACACTTATCACCATACACACCTACCCTTAGAAGGCTTCCAAGGGGCTTCACCGAGGGCCTTCCCAGCTCTGCTCTGTCTGGAGCCCTCAAAGTCCTCAGGGCCTGCCTGAGGAACCTCAACACAACTCACCTGCTTACACAGCAACTTGGTGCTGCTTGGCTGCTGCCTCACTTCCCTTCTTCCTTCTTTCTTCACCTCCCTTGCTTGGTCCCTTTCAATCCCTTGGCTCAGCTCTGTGCACTTTCCAGGTTACATCCCACTGCAAAAAGGATTAGCTCTTGTTACATCTCAACACTCAGACAGCATTCCCCCTTTTTTCCTGACACTGGGCCATCAGGCCAGTGTCTCATGATTTAAAGCAGAGTTTGACTCCTCAGTGACAACAACAGCTACAGCCCTGAATCCTAACACAGGCTGAGACACAAACACGGGTGGGAACTCTGAAGGATCCACTTTGTCCTCCTCACCAACCAAAAGGAGCTTTCTGAACTCAAGGAGCAGACCCCAGGTCCTTTTACTGCAATTTCAACTGCTATCAATGTGACCCACAAGACCTGCAAAGGCCCTTCCCACTTCCCCTGCAGGGCTGGCAGTGCCACCACTGGACACGGCCCCAGGGGCTGGGCAGGAACGGAGGGGCTGGGGCGTCCAATCCATCGGCCCAGGCGGCACCAGGAGTTCCTGGAGTTCCTGAGGGGAGAGCCTCAAGACAACAAAGGATTATGGAGATCATTTTAAACTTTAATAGGCATATCTCCTGGAATATGGGGAGGTTGACAAGGCCTACTGGGGCAACAAGGACACACTCAAGGCTATCTATTCAAAGGATCTACCAGCACTCAAAAGCTATCACTGTCCTTCTTACAGGGGGAACTCAGGAAACTCTCTTTGCCAAGAGCCTCCAGGAGAATTTCCAGCTTTTGAGACTCTCTTTTAACCATTTTCCCCATCACTGTAGCTGGGACTATCACCTGCCCTACAGGGGGAACAGCCCACAAAGTTCACTTGCAGGGATGCCATTAACTCAAAGTCCCTTCTCAGGGGGTCACTGCACACCTTGTCCTTTGTTTGCCCTCCCAAGCAAAGATGCTTCCAACACTTCTGACACATCTGGCAGACCCAGAGCTCTCCTCAGGGAATGCTTCAGCTGCTTAAAGGCTGCCCTTGCACCATCTAGACAAGGCAGCAAATGCTTACAGGCTGTTGGAAAAGTTGCCCTAACAGTCTTACCACACATCCAGAGGGAGCAATCCAGAGTCCAGCCCGTCCCACCATTCCCAGCAAGGCAGTTCATGGGCTCTCTGGGGCTCAGGGAGGAGTCAGGTGACTTCTTTTCTTCTTTCCTGCTTTCCAGATTTTCTCCTTCCAAAGCAAAGGTTTCTTGGCTTTCCTTGCTCAAGGACATGCAGCAAAGGCCATCTTTTCAATCCAATACTGGAAACTCCTCGAGGTTGTCATTCAAGGTGCTTCTCTCAGGTCCTGCACTCATCAATCACCTTGGCCATTGCTTTTCTTGGCAGGTTCTTGCATTCACGTCCTACAAGCAAACCAGAATGAGCCAATTCAGCTGTTACTGCAACCAATCCAAGCTGGCATTCTGATTTTAAAGGATACTGGTTTTGCCTTATCAGGAGAGATCCCACAGTAGGGGTAATACCTACAGGTTCTGCCCTCTTCCACTCTCCGGGAACACTCCACTGGCCCACACCACAGGAACAACTGCAGCTGCCACTTCAGTGGGGACCTTGCTGCTGACAGGAGTTATTCCCTGCACAACAAGAGCTGCTGCTTGGACACATTGAGTTTCAGCAATTACAGTTTCAATATCCCCAGTTTTCCATTTCATTTCTGCCTCAAGTTTTTCAGGAAGTCTCTTCCTAGCACAGGTTTGGGGAGTTTGGCAAACAGGGAAACTGAGCAATTCCCCAATGTTTTCCCAGTTTAACCCCTGTCACACCAATCACCTGAACACTGCCAGTCCTTCATTCTCCCTCTCTTGGGTTAAGGACTGAGGAAGTTGGACCTGTGTCTGAGCAGGACAGGTGCAAACCAAATGCTGGGGACTGGAACACACACCTGGCACTCCTGCAGCTCTTACAGTACATTCAAGAGAAAACAGCCAATTGGACCATCACTGCTCATTTCTTGATCCCAATCCCACACTTCTTTGGCACTTGGAGCACCACTTTTATCACCCAATTCCAGCCCATTAGAGAGCTCCATGTCTAGCAGGGACAGGGACCCCTGGGATACTCTCAGCAATGCCTGAATCCAGTGCAGGGACCTTGCTTTGAGCTCCCCAGGGCCGGGCACCCCGAGGATCTCCCCGAATAATCCTTTCGGTGCGCGCTGGAGTCCTCGGGGTGCCCCAACCCGGGGGGCACCCACAGCACTGTCCCTCCAGGGGGGCCAATTTAGTCTCAAGCTTGCCATGGACAGCCCTAAAGGCATTTCAAGAGTCCTTTTTTGGAACCCACCAACGGGTATGGGGAGGAAGCCACAAGAAGGCCTCATTTCTAAAGGCAGGGGGATCTTGCCTGTGTCCCAGACTGGTCCGGGGATCTGAGGCCCTTCCCGAGAAAATCTCGGTGCCGGCGTGAAGGGCCAGAGATCCCTTGGAGCCACGGGAGAGCAGGCACAGAGTCCCTCCTGGGGGGGCAATTTTCCTGCCTCAACTCAGCTCTTCCAAGAAACCTCTAAGACTCAGCTGGTGAGTTTTAGAAGTCAGGCATTCCTGCACACTCTGAGATATTTTAAGAGCTTACTGAGTGAAAAAACACAAAGCTTTTTCAAGGACCTCTGGCCTCCCACAGACAGCTCCTTTCCCCTTTCAGTACAAAATTATTTTCAGGGAATCATTTAATAGGAAGTGCCCAGGAACCCAAGAATATGCTTTGAGAACAGAAAATATACAGAGGGAAGGAACTTGGCACAAGTGTAACATACTCCAGAACAAACCTGACTTTAGTTTTACTCTTTGTGTTCAAATATTCCACAGAAAAGCTCCAGCAGGAGAACTGGCACATTCCCAACAGGATCCTGAAAGTCCTTCTCACGAGGGCTGGAGGAAAATCGCAGTTGTACGAGTCCCTTGTGCCTGCAGATGCCTGTGGATCCTCTCCATCCACCTCGTGCTCTCCCAACAGCAGAAAGGTTGACCTCGGGGACATGGTGGCACTCGACATCCTGCTGAGAGAGCAAGGAAACCTTTAGCATAAAGGGGAGTTGGAATCTAAAACTTCCTTTCCTGGGAGCTTTGTGAAGCCTGCAACCAAGAGGGGGAAAATTTGCATCTCCTTTGGTGCAGGTGTCAACAGAGGCCAACAGAGCTTGCACTTTTTTCAGACAACTGTGCCCTTTTTGGCTCCCTGGCAGCTCCAATGGCACCAGAACCCCCTTCCTGCACACCCACGGCTGTCACACACAGCCACCCACACACCTTTGCTCCAGCCCACACGGGGCCAACATTTCCTCACCCTGCACATCCCAAGGGCAGTAGTTTTGCTAGAGAGCACAGCAACCCCCCTGTCCTTGCAGACTGCCTCCCTGTAAAAAGGGAATCATTTCTCCTGGACACTTCTCCCACAGTCAAGGGCTTTTCAAATGTGCTCAGGGTCCCTCCCAGCTTCTGCCTGTCCTTGCATTTCAAGGCACGGGCATATTCTATCTGCCAACAGCAAACCCAGCTCCTCACTGGCAGTATAAGCCCTGGTCTTACCTGGACAGACTCCCGGGCTCGGCACAGCTGTGGCTCATGGAGCAGCTTCCCAAGGCCCTTCTCTCTCCCAGCAGGAAGCACAACTCGCCTCCGCACCAGGGGAAACCACGAGCCAGGCTGCAAATTGACACAGAACGAGCAAAAAGCATTAATGCAGCACCAAGAAACTAAGACCAGTCTTCGCCTCGTAACCCTGCACGGGGAAAGGCTTTGGGATTCCGAGGCAATCCCTGAGGCACCCAGAGAGCAACAGCCCCGCAGCCCTGCCACGGCTCCCCCAGGGTCACCCGGCAGGGAAGGGGTTTACCCGGCCCCCGCTGCCCAGCACAACGCGCCCCTAAACGCCCCCCGGCTCCCCCGGCCCACAAACCCAGCGGCCAAGGCGCTCTCCCCTCCGCAGCCCGGGCAGCAGCGGGGACGCACCCGCAGCCCTCACACGCAACCGCCCGCACCCCCCCCGCCGGCCCTTTATACCGCGGGCCGGCAGCGCTGCCCAATCAGCGCTCGAGCGCCGCCGCCCAATCCCAGCCCACCCGGCCCTGCGGCCCCGCCCCGCCCGCTCACCCGGCCCCGCCCCTCGGCGCGGCCCCGCCCCCGTTCCCCCCGCGCGGCTCCCGCCGGGGCCGGGGAAGGGCGGTGGGAGCTCCGCGGTCACGGCCCGGCCGGGAGCTCTCCCGGGACAAGGGGAGCGGGGCCTGCGACGTTCTTGGGGGAGGGCGGGGCCGGCGCGAGCTGGGGGGCGGGCCGAGGGGCGGGGCCGGCGCTATCCCGCGGCGCTTCGCTCTGTGCTTTGGGGCTGTTTCGGGGTGCAGATTTTGGGGGACTGCGCACACCCTCCCCTGGTCACAGCCCCGCCCCAGCTCGCTGCACTCCGCGCACCCCTCGCTCAGCTCCGCGGGGATTTGTGCCTCCTCCGAAGGTGGCAAATGTCCGCAAAGCCAGTCGGGAAGCCAGAGAGCTGCAGCCCCCGGGCCCCGCCGCGGCTTCCCCGCCCTCCCCCGGCCCCTCCCGCCCGTCCCGCCCCGCAGCGCCGCTCCCGCTGCCGCCCTCGAACCCAAGGAACGACCCCCGTGCCCCCAGCACAGGCCGGTCCCTCCCCGGCAGCCTCGGCAGCGCCGGCAGCGGCCGCAGCCCCCAACGCCGGGCGGGGCGGGTGCCGCGGCTGCGACCCCGCGGGGAAGGGACTACAAAGAACTAAACCTACGGCCTGGACAGCGAGAACAAAGCCCGAGGGTGTCAAAAGCCTGTCAGAGAGACTGCAATGGCAACAGAAGGACGCGAGATGGCAGCGTCCGTGAAATAACTACAGCGGCCCACAGGCCACGGGCACCGATGGGATCGGACCGGGCTGCTCAGGGAGGGATCCAGTCACGTTTTGAAACAGGATTTTGGGTCCCAAAAGCACAGCCCTATGTTTGTGAAGCTCCGAAAAAGACTAAGTCCCATAGTTTCAGCCCTTGAAGTGCAGGTTAAGTCCTGCACTGTCCCAGCTCCAAAAAAGAAACCCACCTAAGTGCTGTGCTTTTGGGGCTCAAAAGCAGAGGGTGGGTAGTGCTTTTCTGAAGCTCAGAAAAAAACTAAGTCCGCGGCGCTGTCCGACGAAACGGGCGGGACTGCGAAGGGAAAGGGAGCGCGGAGCGCGCCCCGCACCGAAATACCCCCGAAATTGCGGGAGGAGCCCGAACCGAGTGCGGCACCTGGCGAATTCCAAAAAGTCCTGCAGTCTCAAGACGTGCTGTGGCTGCAGCTCCCGGCTTTATTTGCGAGGGGGAGATGTCTGCAGTTCCAGGTTCTTTTCGCCAGGGAGAAATGTTTGAGGATACTGTGCCTACAGGTCCGGTGGGATTTCGGCAGGAATTGCCCTCGGGTCACTCCCAGCCTGCAGTTCTGGGTGGCATTTAGTGGGGGAACCGTCGGTACTTGCACCTCCTGCAGTACTGGGCAGAATTCGCCAGGCGGTGCCCTCGGTCCATCGGCTGCGAAATTCCACCCGATAGTCCGGCTCCACGTGTCTGGGGAATTGATTTCCCTGGATCCCACCCCCATGTCTGCAATCCATAGGAACTCAGCTGTTTCCCTCCTGTGTCACAGTGTCTTCCAGTTGCCACAAAGACAGAGCTCTGCAGCCAAGCTGCAGCACTTAAAGTAGCATCTTAAGCCTCAGTGTTGATGTGGTTTGGAAAATTACTATTCAAGAGCTTTTGGGCCCATGCTGAGTAATAGTCCTTGTATTCCCAGGCCCTCTTTTGGGCTGTGGTTTTCCACAGCTGATATTTTTTGTCCATCTGGGTTGGTTTCTGATGGCCTGACTTTTCTTTTTCCCTTGTAGAGTCTGAGCTGAGAAGGAGGAGGACTAAGCACACCTGCAGCTGTACCCAAACCTGCACAAGTACAGAGTGTTCTTCAACCACTTCAGCGCTGCCCAATTACCTGCACGTTTTTCCAGTTCCTGCTCCCTGTGGCAGGCAGAGCCATTCCCTGCCCTGCCCACCCGTGCTGAGCCAGCAGGTCCCTGCACCCCCATTTGTGCTGAGATAACTTGTTTGGACACCCGGCCCGGCTTCTCTGGGCCACACCATCCCAGCCCGGGGCCACGCAGGCCAAGGACAGGCTGTAAATGTCACCCTTTGTACTCTGCCGTGTCCACTTCAGCTGCAGTTGGATTTGGAACCGAGATAAAAGCAGGGCTGTTCTGCTTTGGAGGTGCAGGGGAGTTTGGGGCTGGGGAGAAGGGTTTCAACCTGAGGAATTTCTTACATCTCCTATTCCAGGTGCTGTAGGTTCATTTTATGCTCTCACAATTAGCTGGCACCCAGGCTTTGCTTCCCAGCGTGTTGTGTTGGCAACAAACATATGTTGCAGCCCCTACAAACAGCACTCCTTTATAGCTTTCACACTTAAATTTGGGCTGCAGATCCCCCTCCCAGTATCAAGAACCACCCAGGATGAAGTCTTAATTCCTTCCTCCCTCTTAGGGGTAATAACTACTTCGCTCCAGAGCCTCTAGAAGGACATTCATTGCACTGAACGCACTAAGTGGAAGGGCCTCTCCTGGAAATGATCCTCACCACACTGCTTTGCAGTTAAACACCACACGTTTCCCTCCTGCAAAGCAATGTTCACTGTACACAGCCCAATTACCATCCCAAGAGCGGCAAGGGTTTTCCAAGGAAAGTGAAAAGCAGTTGCCCATCCTGCTGAGCATGCAAAGGGGCGCTGGAGACATTGAATTTAGAGGATATAAATGGGTGCCCCATCCCTGGGAGTGTCCAAGGCCAGGTTGGACAGAGCTTGGAGCACGCTGGTCCCTTCCAACCCAGACCAGTCTGGGATTCTGTGATGATCACATATGTGGAAATACAGTCCTTGCCCACCTACCTCTGTATTACCAATAACTGCAGCTCTCCCAAGCCATTCTATCTCCAAAATTTTGTCTTTTTATCCTGCTGATGCTTACAGCATACTTCTAAAAAAAAAAAAAAATCAGTAAAACATCTGTACTAATCAGAATTTCCCCCTTTATCCTACAGTTTCGGAGTTGATTTTCTTCCAAATTTCATAGGCATTTTGATAGTAATCATCAATGCTGCAAAAATGTTATGTGTGTGGGGGTACATCACTCAGCCTTTCTCCATGACTCCTTGGGAGCTGGGAGCAGGAGAGAGCTTGTACAGCAAGGAGGGAATGCAGAAATATCAGGGTAACAGCTGAACTTGGGATTTTTCCAGTCACTAATGTGTTCCGAAGTCATTTTCTGCACAGCAATCACCTTTAAGCAATCTCTAAGTAGAGATAAGTGTGCACAATAAAAAGCCCAGCATGTTTAACTTCTTGTGTGAGGTGTGATAAGCAGAAAATGTCTATTTGTCTAAATTTCAGGGGGAAAAAAATCCTCAAGGTCCTTCCTCTGCAACAAGGTGGTCAGTTCATCATCCTGAGCATGTCTAATTATTGTGGGAGTATTCTCAAAGGACTAATGTGAAATCTGACAGTAAAAGGGTTTTGATTAACCAGGAATCATCTGGGAGAGTATAAAAGTACCACCCTCCCCTTAATTCTTTCTGCCTTTCACAGATGAAGCAAACTCACCCCAGGCCCCTGCCAAAATCTGACAGGATGGACTGGAAAACAATCATTTATGTCATTTTATTGGTGAGCCTTAGAGTAGCCAAAGCCCTGCCTAGAACTTCTCAGGACATAGGTAAGGACATCTCGTATTTTACCTCTATTTTTTGTTTAACACTGCTGGCTGGACTCAGCACACGTGGTTATCTGGTGGCTCGCTTGGCCACAGTTCTTCATGGGGATTTTCTTATGGGACAAAGGTGTACAGCAAAAGTGTACTTGATAAATCTGGTGTGATCAGCCCCAAGTGTATTGCTTCTAATTCCCTGAGAATCTCTGCAGCGTGCAGGAGGGGAAGGGATTACTGAGAGGAAGTGTATAGAAGGAAAACTTGAGAGGAAATGTATTGAAAGGAAATTTTCCCTCCTAGAAACACTTGAGCTACAAAAAAAATGGTATTTGATACAGCATTTAGTGAACACTTCTTATTCTAATGATCTTGTTTTCCAGAGGAAAAAACAAGCATCGGCCAACGATTTTCTCAGCTGCAGGAGAGCAATTTTAAAGCCATGTAAGTTGTGCAGGTAAAGCAAATTTGCTGCTACTGCACAGTCTTGTGTCACTGGGAATGAGCCCTAACCCTACCCCTCACCCACGCAGGACCAGGGTGGTACAAATCCTCTCACTGCCTCTCACCAGAGAGCTCTGTAAGTAGTCTGTAGGTGGCCAGGAAGAGGTTTAACCCTGTGTGTTCCCCCTGCAGAGCCCTGATCCTGTTTGCCCAGTACGTGCCAGGAGGGACGTTGGGCAGAGCGGCCGCGATGGCCGAGGGGGTCACAGCCCTGGCCAGAAGGTGTGCGGCAGCGGCCACCGACAGCCCCGACTGCCTGAAGCCTCTGGTAAGCTCAGTCATGCTTTCCAGGTATGGCTTGTCATTCCAGAGCTCTGGCATGGGTTCTTCCAGAGGCACGAATCCATTACCGAGAGACCTCCTTGCACACGTACATTTGGCTCATGGACTCTCCTTCTCCCCTCTGTAAAGGTGAACTTCTAATTTTTCACAGGACAGGATTTTCCTCGATACAATATGCCAGGAGGAAAACCTTCCCCGGTCTGCTGACTGCTGTGCTAAAAAGGATCCTGAAAGAAATGACTGCTTCCTCTCCCTGAAAAACTCCTCACGAGGGTTCAGCTCTCCTTTGGAGAGGCCAGATGCTGAAGCTGCCTGCAGAAACCATTCACAGCATGGACAGCCATTAACAGGATAGTAAGTAATAAATCACAGATTGGCTGCCTGGATGTGGCAGCTATGGGCTGGGGACAGCAAATGCAGCAGCAAACAGAAAGTTCTGCCTCTCTCATAATGATTTTTCTTCTAATGTGAATTATTTGCATAATTCAACCAGCTGTAATTGCTGTTCTGTAAAGCATGTTCTGCCACCTCCTGCTTTGACTGTAGCTCCCAGTGACAATCAGTCTGGCCTGATTTATTGTATTCTATACAAAGGACTCACCTGAAACCAAGGGCCTCACTTTAGTCCTTAGAAGCCAAGCAGGAGTTGTGCTGCCTCTAAGACAGAACTGGCAGGATTTGAGACTTCAATTTCCAGGAAAACGTTGGCCCCGCCAGAATTTTCCAAGATAAACACCACACGGTGCAGCTGTTTGTTATGTCAGGAAACCAATAACTTTAGTACCTTTTATAATCTTATTACTTTTATAATTATGTTATCAACTTACCCTGAGACTAAAGATGTTTTGCTCTGGTTTCAGTTTTATCTATGAAGTTTCCAGAAGGCATCCCTTCCTCTATGCCCCAACAATCCTCTCTGTGGCGCTGCAGTATGAGGAGATGATGGAAAACTGCTGTGGAAGTGCTGAAGGCCCCTCCCATCACATGGAGGAATGCTTCCAGAGACAGGTATTCCACCGCAGAATTTGAGGTTATTAATGTGTAGCTTTGCTACAGCTACACAGATACTGAGGCAGATATATCAGCATTTCTTTTTCAGCATCTGAGCCTGATACTGGAATTCCCCTTGTTAAGCACAAGCTGAAATCAGGCTGCTCTGGAGCACCCCCTGTGCTAAAAGCACTCAGCTATTGTCTGAAGGGTTCTGCTTTCTTTTCACAGAGCACTTAATAAATGCTGGTGACTAACCAGCAAGTGCAACAGTTACATCTTGCAGCTTGTACAGCTCTCAGCTTGTTTTCTCTCACTATTAAAAAAAATTTAAAAAATTAAAAACTGTCACCACTGTAGTTTCAGTTTCATTGTCTTCCAATTTTGTGGCTGCACCTTCTTTCTGCCAGGCACCGAAGGTGGTGAAGCTGATAAAAGAAGATTCCCTGAGGCAGGAACACACTTGTGGAATCCTGAAGAAGTTTGGAGAGAGGACCTTAAAGGCTCTGTGAGTCTTCCCCATGTTTATTATCATTTTGAAATAAAGCTGTGTCTCCACAGTGACTCTGAGTACCAGCCCTCTCCTGTTTATGTGCAGGTCACCAGTAGCATCTAACAAGGAAGACAGAGTAGAAATTCAGATTTGTGTGTGGCAGCATCACCATTTCCTTACAAACTGTTAAGAGATTCCAAAATCTAATCCCAAAGTCTGAGCCAACCACACCTCTCTGTGATCAAAGTTAGACAACCTCTCCACACAAAAATGATGATAGCTAGCACAGTCTCCCACTGTGAATATAAACAGTAACTATTTTCCTTCCTTGTAGGAAGCTTGCCCAGATAAGCCAAAAATTCCCCAAAGCTGACTTCGTGACCGTTCACAAACTGGTGGTGGCCGTGGCCGACATGCACAAGGACTGCTGCCGCGGGGACACGCTGGGCTGCATGCGGGACAGGGTAAAGCCCTTTCACACTCGTGTGGCTGCAGGCATTTCATGCCTTTGTCGTTGCAGGGTTCAGATTTTCAGCTTCCCTTTCTCGTGTCCAGGAAGAGATCCTGCGCTACGTGTGCAGCAGCCAGCACGTCCTGTCCAGCCGGATCCAGCAGTGCTGTGAAAAGCCCCTGTTACAAAGGAGTGAGTGCATCCTCAACATGGAAAACGATGACAAACCGGCAGGCCTGTCCCCCCACGTCAGGGAGTTCATTGAAGACAAAGGAATATGTGAACGTTTTGCCCAGGAAAAAGACATGCACTTAGCCAGGTAACACAGGGCTTCCTCTGTGAAATTCTCCCTGTTCCACCAGACAAACCCACTCTGAAATCCTCCTGCTGTCCTTCCCACCCAAGGGCAGCTGTTTTGGCTTCTCCCTAATTCCTGATCTTCCTCATATTGCAGGTTTCTGTATGAATATTCCAGGAGACACCCGGAATTTTCCGCCCAGATGCTTCTCAGGATTGGCAAAGGCTACGAGGACCTGCTGCGGGAGTGCTGCAGGCCCGGGGCTCCCAGTGGCTGCCGCAGCAGAGGGGTGGGTGCTGCTGGGTCCTCCAGCACGTGGAGGGGGTCAGGCATGTCACGCTGTGACTAAAATGCCAATATCCCTGCTCCACCTCCAGAGTCACAGCTCCTGTAACAATCCCAGCAAATCCTGCAAAGCCTGACTGATTCCCAACTGGAAAACGCACCACAGAGCCTGTGCAATCTTTAATTGCGAAGCAATTTAACATGGACAGATGGAGATAGAGGGAAACGGATGGAGCTAACACTTCTGTGGGCCCTGCTCCTGAGCAGTGCCAGTTCACTCTCCCAAATGTAAAGATGCTTATGGTCACTGTCTGAGATCAGGACAGTGGCCCCATAATACCTGAAGTCAGGAGCTGCCCGGTGTCTCAGACACGGCCTTCCAGGTCATGGGGAACAGACGTGGACATTTTACCACATTCAGGCAGTTTACAGGGGTTTCAGACAGGAATGGCATTAGAACCAGGGGGTCCATATCAGGTGAGAGACAGCTGTAGATACTCAGGACATTCCGCATTCCCCTTCCTCAAATTCATTTATTTTTTTTTCAGGAGGAAGAACTGAGGAAACATATTTACGAAACGCAGAGTGTCATGAGGACAAGCTGTGACATTTACAAGGAGAAAGGAGATTACTATTTCCAAAACGAGTATTACTTTTTCCTGTGCTTCCTTACCCTGCTCCCACTGGGCACAGTCCTGGGGTAATGCCACACGGCTCACACAGGCCAGGCTAAAGGCACTACTGCAACACATGGCTTCACACAAACAGGGCAGCCTTACACCTGCCCACCCGGACTTAGAAACACCAGGCTTAGTCCTGTCCTTACACTAAGGAGTGTTTCATGGGGCTTGGCTGGAAGGCAGAGGCTGCTCAGTACTGCCTGGTGAAACAAAAACACCAACATGACAAAATCTGTCATTTCAGGCTCCTCATGAGTTTCACCAAGAAGATGCCTCAGCTGACATCGGCGGAGCTGATCAAATTCACCAAGGAAATGACAACCATCGGCTCCAAATGCTGCCAGCTGGGCCAGGACAAGCTGCTGCCTTGTGCCGAGGAACACGTGAGTGCTTCCCTTTGGTATCTGGGTCCTACTTTTTGCTGAAACTCTGCCAGAAATTCTGCTGCTGGTCCCTAAAACCGCGTATAAATGTTCATTTGCAAAAATCCCAGCTGGTTCTGCGCTGACAGAAGTCAGCATTAAGTAAAAATATCAAGTGTTCTCTATCCTACAAACCAGGTTTAACTTAAATTCCTCTTTTCCTAACTTCGCTGTGAGCAATGTGCATTTCAGGGATTTTTGAACATGAAAAAGTAACATAACATTGTTTTTTTCATTCTCTTGGCAAAGCTGGATCTCGTGCTTGGGGAAATCTGTAGGAGACACCTGGCTGATCCCATAAACCCTGGAGTTTGCCGCTGCTGCAGCAGCTCCTATGCCTTCAGGAGGCCCTGCATAGGCAAACTGGAGAGCGATGAGAGTTATGTGCCCTTAGCACTGACTCCGGGCCTGTTTGCTTTCCATGGAGACCTGTGCACCTCGGAAGAGGAGAAGTTACAGCACAGGAAGCAGGAGTAAGACGTGCTGGTTTGCTGTTACCCCTGGCACTGTTCACCTTCCCCCTGCCCACTGTCCCGCCTTCTCCTTTGGAACACTCCAAAACCGGGCACCAATGTTTCATTTCACAGGGGAACAGGGCACTGCTTTGCTCCCGGCCAGAAATCCATGTCGGGGTGGTGAACAAGGATGAAAAGCTGTGGGAAGGCAGCGGGTGGGACCAGAAGGGGGGTTTGCAGGCCTGGGGTGGAGGGAAGCTCCGTGAGCGCGTGCTCCCCTCCCACTTGCCAGAGCTCTGCTCTCCTGCAGGATGCTCGTCACCCTCCTCAAGTACAAGCCGCAGATCAGCCCCGAGCAGCTGGGCTCTGTCACGGCCGCCTTCACTGCCATGAGGGAACGGTGCTGCAGAGAGGCCAACCCTGAGGCCTGTTTCCTCAAAGAGGTATCGCTTCTGTTTCCAGCCACAGTTCCTCGGCAACAGGGAGAGAAAGGGTATATTCAGGTTTTCAGTCAAAGCCTTTTCCCTGTTTATCTCCCTGCCTCTGTTTCTCTCTTGCCTTCCCAGTGCTGTTTCAGCTCACTCAACTTCATACTCCAGAGCTGCTCTGGCTCCTCTTTACCCTGCGGTAAATCTGCTTTTCCCTACTTCTCACCTCCCCCTCTTTGCTGTATTCCTTAACTGAACTTTAACACACCATCCTTGACCCTTAAGCCTTGTTCTCTCTTTTCTTTGCTTTAAAAGATAAAATACAGAAAAATTTCTTTTATTAATAAAGAATGCCCACCTCTGGATACTCCTGAACAGCACAGGCAAAAAGATTCTACCAACTACTCCAACCAGAACTGTATTTTAGTATTTTTCCAACAAATAGCAAATCTAAGGCCACCTGAGCTGACCAGCAAAAGCAAAATGCATCCTGCACAGTGACAAATGTATCTGTGCTCTGCACATAGTGTAGTGCCCACCATGCCAAGGTTATAGGACGGGACCTGCTGCTGCCACCTCACTGAACGTGTCACGAACACATCAAGCGCCCTCCCGACACTACTGCTCACACGGATCTTCCTTTTTTCCAGGGTCCAGAACTTATCAAAAGGAGTGAGAAAATGCTGTCAGCATAAGGAGCTGCACAGCCCATGGGAAGGTCCTCGCTGGACGACAGGAAGTGACACAAACTGCACAGGGAGCATTTAAACCAAACCAAGTGTCTGAAAGCCAGGTTAACCTAGAGGGAGGCTGCATGCCCTTAAGTAATTCCACCAAAACAATCAGTTAAGTGATGAAAATTCAGGGTTTGACTGTGGCCACCATCTCCTGGTATGCAATCTTATTTTATTACCCCAAATAGTCACAGACCAAAATAAAGGCATTTTAAATCTTAAGCCTATAAAGCATAAGTGCAAATGAGATCAAATTAAGAAAATCGGCCTGTAACCATTCTAACTTAATCACTGAATAATTATTTTTGCATTTTTATAACACTGGCCTTGAACTACAGCATATGCACTCACCAATATGGGCTGCTCAGGAGCGCTGTAAAGTTACCTTTAAACAGAGAAAAATATTATCTCTGGCATCTCAAATAAGGTGAGAGAGAAAAAAATAAGAAAAATGTCCCAAAAAGGACAGGACAGGGACTGCTGAAACACCTGGTCAGCAGGGAAATGTAAGATCTCAGGTAATGACTGTCTCTGTGATTAATGGCTTCGGGCCCAAATGCAAGAGGGACCCCCACTTCCTCTGTCACCCATGTGTCATTGCTGTGTTACCACGAATGTCCCACAATAGTCTGGAATAAATTCTTTCCCCGCTCTTGTATTTGTCAGAAATGGTTCATTTAGACAGCACTGCACTCACAAAGAACCAACCCCACAACACTCACAGCCTGATTTCACTCACCCTCAAATCCCGGGTGACTGCACCTGGTCTGTGCCACGTTCCAGAACTATCTTCCAGCAGTTTTCAGTCCCAATTCAGCAGGATAAGGGAAATAAACAGTATTCAAGTCTTGAACATCAGATGGTGGCAAAAATAGCTCATTTTAGGAAGTGTGGACGTACACAGAGGGTTGGAGAACCTGCTTGAAAACACCTCCTCTTTTCCATATGGGCTGTGCAAGAAATCACGAATATTTAATATTCCAACATTTCCACTTGGGTGCACACTCTGCTGCTTCAAGGAACTTTTATTTACATCTCTAAGGCAGCTATTACTTAATCCCTACATCTTAACTGCTGAATTATTTTTATTTCTCCTCTCTGTACTCCCTTGCCCCTAATATTTTCCTAGGTAGGATTATAAACTGTGCCCCCTTGCCCCAGCCGGAGCACTTTCAATCAGCACATCGACCTTCATTTTTTGAATTCACATCCCAGTACCATGATCACACGCAGTGTAAAGTTTTATAATTTGATTTATTCCACATGATTTGTAGACAACACATTCTCCTCATTCATTTCCTCCCTCGCTATTTGTTACCTGCACAAGGCAAAGGCAGCTGAGGTAAGTCACAGATACCAGGTAAAAACAACCGGCTAATGCAGGAGGAACATCAACTGCACACAATTTATTTTATTTGCATCTCTGTAATTTGAGCTCCAATATCCAACACAACTCAACCAGACAGGGCCTGGCATTGGCTGCTATGCCCTACCTGGGGCCGGGCTGGACCCAAACGGCATCCATGGGAGGCCACGAGCCCAACCCTCCATGGCTATGACATTCAGCCTCTCCCTGAGCACTTCTCCATTCCCTTCCAAACAGAAAACACTGGAAGAACCACAGAATCACTTACTACAGCAGCAAAAACTACTGAGATGCCTTCCAGGACCCACCTGTGTTCAGTGACAGTTCTTCTTTTGCATTTCACAAGGTATTTCAGGGATAAACACCCTCTCATGATTAAGAGCTGAGCAGCTTGTACGTGGGAGGCTGCCAATTATGTTTTTCTAACCGTAGCTCAAAGCTTAAGCAAGTTCAGCCTCTACCAACATGAAGCCAGTGGGATTTCAGGCATCTCGCATGGATATTTTATAAGTTTAGTGAAAATCCTACCTGCTGTCTTAAATACATAAATACCTTCTGCCACTTGCCTCTACTGAAAAGCTTTCTGCTAGTACAATTCCACATTTCTCTAATAGAGGGATAACCATATACTTAATTTGCATATTTTCTATGAACACAGTGGTTATTGCAATATTTTTCCTATGCCAGCCTCTTGGTAATGGGTTGTACATCAGCAGGGTTTAAAGCCTCGGGCTTTTCAGGGCATATTTTTCCCTAAGTTCCAAGCCAGATTCAGCATCTGTTGTCTGGGGGATGTAGTGCATCTCCTTGGGTGGTTCCAACCCGCATCCCAGCGCTGCAGCAGTGGGGGCAGGTTCAGCTGTTTAATGCTCAGGAGAAACTCCCTCACTCTGCACACCCTGAGCTTGAAGGGCTCCTCAGTCCCAGCCCCCAGAAGCAAGCAGCACAGCGACTGCCCCTCCACACACCCAGGGGCTGTTCCCAAGGGGCCGTTCCCAAGGGGCCGTTCCCATCAAACCGTGGTCTCTGTTCTTCTAACAGTTCGACTGCGAAGGTGTTGCCGTATCAGGCTCTTCTCTTTCAGGTACCTGAGATGGAGGGGGAGAATGCATTTCAGTAACAGGATCCTGCAAAGATTCAACCCAAGTTCTAATGAGCTGGTCAAAGGGCAATGAAAAGCTTCCCACTAGAAAATGGCAGGTGTTACTTATTATTTTTTTATATATTCCCTGTACACTTTGATTCAACATGATTATCAGCCCATCATCCAAAAACAGATCCAAGGGTACTGCAGCCTCTCACTGCTTGTGGCCTCAGGAGCCAGTTGCTCACAAATACAGAAGCCTCTCTGGCTTGTCCCTATTGGGCGTTTTGAGCTACTGTCACAGGAATTCCTGTCATTCACCACACGTTTTAAAGGGACATTTGGCACCAGTGTGGCTTAAATGCTACAGAACCGAAATAGTACCACAGTGTGTACTGCATTTATTCTTTCCAGTGGAATACACAGCAGCAAGTACAAGCTGAGGCTTGTAAAGGCTCAAGAAACAAACACAATAAACTGAAGTGACTCTGAGGGTCTAAACTTTCTGAAAAGACCCCACTGTGTGTGTAGTTAGTATTTATTCTGTAATCTTTAACAGAACAGCTGGGTATGCGGCACAGGGGAAGGATTATAAATCCCACCCATCTCTCCAGCAGTCCCAGCAGTGTTGTACCTGCACACTGCTACATCCACGTGTTCTCCTCATGAGCCAGCCCATCATTGTACAGATTCCCCTGGACTCAGTGACCCCCCTCATTTTATTTCCACTTACCTTGCCACTGTCTGTTGAATCTCCTGCTTCTCCTCTTCATTTATTCTATGCAAAATTGATTCCAAAAAGGGAAGATGAAATGGAATGTACTGAGCAACCTAGCAGGGAGAAGACAAGAAATGCACTACTATTCGTGGTAACAGAGAAAAACTCCCTGAGCTACCAGAGCTGATGATATACGCACGTCACTGCTGATCTCTTCCACGTCCCCATCCATGAGAAAGAACTTGGCAATCTTCTCCGAGGGCCCCTGCAGCAGCCTGTGCAGCAAGGGGATGTCTCCACTCCTCAGCTGCTTCTTTTCTGGGATTTATAAGGAATGTCATGACACACAGAACACACCGCAGGGCCTCTCTGTACCTCCTGCATTCAGGAACCTTTTTCCTTGACACAGATCAACCCTATCTGACTGTTGTGCAATTACCAGATACCTAACAGGTCCCTAATATTGTGCCATTTAAGGTATGTTCCCCCTCGGTTAGCTTCCACTCTTTCAGGCATTCCCTTTAATAAAGATCAAATCTCCTGTTTCTTAAAGAACTTAAACTGTTGTGGAAGTAAACATTTCCCACTGAAAAATGAGTACTTTGAACTCAGCATCTGTGATCCAAAAGTGTCAGCTGAAAGGGCCCACAACACAATCATTCTGCTTTTCCTCTCCAGAGGATGCACATCTGAGGGGTCTCTGGAGAAGCCAAAATGCCACACCACACCCACACTGCCCAAATGAGGACAGAGGTCTGGGACGAGCCCTGTCACTCAGAGGTACACATGCCACACACACACACACACACACACAGAGGATGATTAGAGATGAAGTGATCAGGCAGCAGTGCCTGGCTTACCTCCAGATGCATGGATAATGTAAAGTGCAAATTCATGGGGGCTGTTTTCTATCTGTGAAACAAAAGAAAATCCATTCAGACTCACAGACCTTCCCAGCATTTCCCTCTCAGCAGATACTCCCTATGTGTCTCAGCTCAGAGATCTGGATCAAAGCGAGACAGAGATCCTGTCTGTGGAAGAGTTTAAAGATGCTGGATTTAGATAAGACAGAAAGCTATGCTGCCATGTTCACTGTCCCCGTGCCAACCCTAATCCTTACCCTTCCATATTGCCCCAATCAGTAACACACTTAGACAAGCCCAGATCATTCTTGCCTGGTTTCCTTGGAGCATCCTGAACTACTTCATACAACTTTCTTTTCATGTTACATGTAGATTTGCTACTTGTATCTTCATCAAGGTAAGACTCTATGATCCCTGCCCACCCAACTTGCCTGACAGGCACACTGAGCAAACAGCAGAGCTTTTGAACACTTACTTTGCAACTTTTCCAAAACTTCGCACCCCAGTCTGTAAGTCCATTCCTTACTACTCCTAGAAGTCAAGTTTTCCCTTCAGTATTACACTCCCAAGTCCCACTAACTACGTCAAGTAATTCTGCAATAGCCAAGTCTCTAGACAACTTAAATGAGACGTTTAACATAAATAAAGTAAAATTGTGCCCTACAGAGCCATGTAGAATAGAGATATTGGAGAAACATACAGCACTGATGGGAAAGATATTTCTGACTGGCTATAATCATACTGGTGGAAGATGGTTCCAAGGTAACTCCAAGGAAAAAAAAAATGTAGTCTCAGACAGTACGGCACTGACCTTGAGCAGTACTTTCAACTCTCACTTTCTGGACCTTTCCACCCGCCTAGGTCTAACAGGACCTATCTCCCAGACACGGCATTGAATTCCCTGTTAAGCAAACCGCAATTCCCGGGGATGTCCGCTGGAGGGCAGCACTGCCACGGGCAGTGCCCAGCCTTTCCCTGCACTGGGAATGATGGAAGCGCAGCAGCGTTCGCCCTCCTGTGCGGGACTTCAGGGAAGGGGTTCTGCAGTTTCCCCTTCACCGCACACCACACACCCGGTGTAACTTTTATAGCCTCAAAGTGCCATGAAACACTGATAAAACAAACCCAACCTATGCATTTCAAATGGCCCATGTGGGTTCTTTCACATTCCATTTCGTGCAGTATTCCCTGCCTTTCCTGCAGCACTGGAGTGCACACTGGAATAAACATTTCCAGAACAGAGCCACACTTGCTCCTGCCAGGTTACCTTAAACTTGTGAAGCAGCTGTTCTATCACATGTCTGGTTCTCATGTGGCTGTTGATTCTTATTTTGGTTTCTGATCCAAAAGCCGGAGTGAAAACTGATGTCTGGAACAAAAACAGCCACCCAAGGGCATGAGCATGAGGCAAAGCTCTCTGGACAGGGTTCCCTGTCCCGGGGCCCACTCTCAGGTGATGAAGCCAAGCCTAAGCATTCCTACCTCGTGGTTGTAGAAGTGGCCATTGATTGAGAACCTGTGAGTTTCTCCTTCTGTCCTGGCTGCTGTGGGGAGCTTGGTCCTCTTCCGCACGGCCGTGGCATCGCTGCTGGTCCGGGGCAGGGTGGCACAGTCGTGCTCCTGCTCACTCCTGGGCTTCAGCGTGTGGCTTTCATAACATGGATAACCTGGAAGAACAAAAGCACATCAGCACCGTGTGCAGCTGCTCCCCCCTCCCTGCCAGCAACCCCAGAGGAAGGAAGCTCTTGGTGGAGGTATTTATTTTTTTATTAACTTTTTTTTGGGTGGGGAGCAGGAGAGGAGCAAGGCATAGGCATGTGATGAAGAGGAATATGCTGGCTGTAGTGGCCACAGTTGGCTATTTTGTTCCCTTGGGAATGATCTCGTGGTGAAAGCACAGCCCATTAGCACTGGCTGTTCACTGAGCCACTTGCACAATGTCGGCCCTAGCCAGCCCCGGGTCAGTGTTCTCCCAGCTTGCAACACGTCACACAGAGCATAAAGATTCCCCCTCACTGCTAGGGAAAGCCTGAGGGGTGAAATTCATTTTGCACAGCCACAGAACACCCAAATTTTTGTGAACATAAGAGCACCGACACTAACTTTGCTCGAGGTCTGGCTGTTCCTCAGCAGACTTCAGTGTCTCCCCACTAATGTGATGCAGGTCATCAAATTCTCCCCAGCGAGTCATTCCCCTGAAAGACCAAACATTTATTTTAATGTTAACTCCTCGTTAACACAGTGATTTCAGTTTATCCTGTGGCCAGGCTTCAAGTAGTGCATTCTTGCCCATGCACAGAACTTTACAGAACACAACTATAGACTTCTGCATGGTAATTTTAGTTTAAGTAAAAAGAACATCAGTTATTAAAACATGGTATGATGAGGGATCCCAAATATATCACAGGCCTATTTAGGGCCTGTTGAACAGAGAAATCATGTCCCTTAAATAACTTGCAGTAATTATTTATCTATTTTACAGCAAAGTTATGGATTAATCACAATAAAGTACCAGGCAGGCACACAGAAAACATGTATTGTGGTTTTAACAGTCACAGGATACATGTCTGCTATACAGATGGGACATGGAAGACTAAATTACATACCAGCCCCTCATGCTACCCAGTTCTGTATGAGAGCAAGGAATTCCATGCAGCCTGTTAGAAAATCTACCTTTTTTATGTCAATATTTCCATAATTCATTGTCTAAACTCTTCAGCAGAAAGTCTTCATCCAGTTACTGCTCTGACTGAGAATAAACCAATTTGTAAGATAATAATAAAAATTCATTTCCTATATATATATATATTCCAAAGAATATTCAGCTAACTCCCATGAACACACCAAACAACGATCTCCCTTGTGTTCCACACATTTACCAAGTTCATTTAGGATCACACAGCTAAGCTGCTCTGCATACCTTAAAGCATGTCAGGGCAGCCCCATGTTTCTGGGATCATGAGTTAATGTTTACTTTAAGATTCAGATCTCCACCAGCCAGAAGTTTCTTAAGCACTAAAAGGCGAAGCATGACCTCAGCTGCCAGAGCGGCCCCTGTCCTGCAGGCCACACCTCCCCACGCCAGCAGAGCTGGGCAAGGTAAACACAGAACCTGCCAGGCCTCAGCCCTCAACTTCAACAGCCAGAGACAGGAAGCCTGTCCCTGACTTGACTAGAATTTCCCAGCTGCAAGGATGGCAGAATTAAAGCCAGAATTCCAGTGTGCACCACATGCAATCTAAGACAATGGGTAATTAGGAAGAGAAGCTCTGCAATACACAATTTATCTGGGAGTCATTCAGGGTGAACACTGGCTCTGCCTCCCTATTGCACATGACTCAGCTTTAGCTCAAATGCACCAACTAAGGCTGGGGAAATAAGTGTTCAAAACGAAGGAAAAGTACACTGAGAACCTGCAATAGTTGAGCACAACACACTGGGATATAAAACATCACTGGCAGCAGCCTGGAGTAGCTGGTCTGTGGGCATTTTAACGGGGTTTTCTACACTAGATTTTGCACAAAGCCAGTATTCATTCCCTGGTGTGAACTTCAGCTGAACAGCAATGATTCCACACCTGAAGCAGCCAGGAGGGCACTTACCTATCAGCTTTTGGCTTCATGCCATAGTGTGTGCACCAACACGAGACCTTTCAGGGGCTCCCAGTATCAGGTGTCCACAGATACACGTGGAGTTTGTTTGGGGTTTCTTTACACATATATTTCATATATATCAATTTCCCAGTCCTTGTATGGGAATAGTCACTTCCCGTGAACAAGAGCAGCCTCCTCCAGCTCCTCAACCTGAGAGCCAGACAAAGATGCTACAAAAACACACCTTTCTGCCCAGCAGAAGCTGTTGAAAGGCCATATCAGTTCACAGAGCTCTGCCGTGCAAGCTGGCACCAGAGCCTTTGGAGAATCTGGGGTACACAGCCAGCCACATCCATTGAAGCCACCCCCAAGAGCTGTCTTGCAATGCTAGCCTGCCTCCTCCCTAGGGAAGTTCATACATTACCTTTTACTAGGGAACAAATCCACGCTCCCTGTTGACTTCAGGGTTACAAAAGAGGGTATCAGCTTCTCATCCTGAATTTTTAATCGGATAGGGTGTCGCACTCCCCAAAATATTGACAGGATTCCTTCAATAAATGGTGCGTTTCCTTCTCGCTGGAGACAAGAAAAAAAAAAGAATAAGGAGTACTACATAACAACTGAGTAAAAATAACCAAGTAATACTCAGTTTCCCCTCAAGTAACAAGAACACAATGGACTCGCTGAGGCTGACACAGCTCTGGCAGAGGTTACTTAGAGAGGCCGTGGAACCTCAGTTTTGAGGTATTTCCAAGACATCCAAAACTGCAGCTGACCTGATCAGTCTAGGAAATCTGTTCTGGTTTATTATATTAGATGGAACACGTCAGGTAATAAAAACACCACAGCAAGTGCTGGAGTCCAGTGCTGTGAGGAGAAGAGAGCAGAGACAGGTACCTCCAGATTAGTGGGAGTTTCTCTCGCCCAATTCCTTACCTGATTACATGTCAGTTGTAGATTCTCTTGATCCGAATAGTAAGAGTTATAATTCTTCAGAAGAAAACTGAACTGCTCTCTAGAATAAAGACCACAAAGAAAGAATAATTTATAACATGTCTGTCAATGTAAAATGCAGGTGTTATGTGGCAGGGTGACACCCCATACCTGTGCTACCCACTGCATCCTTGCATAGGTTTGTTAATGATCAATACACCATTTTCTGGGACTAAAATTTTGTCAGGTTACTGGATTGCTCATAAGTTGCTTCTTTAAGCACCTGATACACAGAGGAAATTAATTAGTCACAGTCTGATGTGATCTTAATAACACTGCCCCAGAATAGCTTGTACTTTGGACCTCTGTTAACAGTCAAGAGAAGGAAGCAAACAGGAACAACACCCCCATCCACCAATATTGCAGGTTACTTTAATTAGGCTTACAGTTTGTTTTCCCTGCATGATGATTTACAATGGGTTTTTTATATTTTTGCAGATATTCTTTTTATTTCCCAATATCTACCGTATGCCTAGAATTTCTATTTCCTTCTGCTTGAAGCACAACAACTTTGCACCAAATCTTTGCTGAAAAGAAAAACGGATGGAGATGAAGAGAACCTCTGCCAACGAGCGAGGAGCCATGCAGACAAAAAGCCAGCTGCAGCTCAGCTAAGGAGGGCTGAGCAACAACAGAATTAGGTGAAATGTATTCCAGGGCCTCCAAGAATGAAACGCTCTTCCCCACACCACTCAAAGATTACTTAGGCTGTAATTCAAGCAAGCAATTTCCACCAGCAGAGGTAATCAGCCATGGGGAACAACTGCATGGGAGAGCACAGGCTCTTCCTTATGGAGCACGGTTCAAGCAGACAGCACTGCACAACTCTTTGCACCACAAGGTCTCCACAGACCTGCTGAGGCTGTTCAGGACCCATGTACCATCAGAGGCACTATTACAACTTCTCCCCCAATTTTAAGCGCAAGGGTGCCCCAGTGGGACAGAGCCCAGCGTGCAGTCCAGCCCCAGGAACGTGGCCTTCCCCTGGGCTCAGCTGGCACACCCTGGAGAGGAGAGTGGGGACAGCCAGCAGGGCAGTGAACATGTCTCTGTTGGGCCTGGGACAGAGGGGCACTTGGAGTGTGCATGTGAAAAGCTTTCCCTGGCCTATCTATCCCTCCCTCCCTTGTCCACTTAACAAACACAACAGTGTCCTGTTGCTTACTGAGCCTTCTCCCATGGTGAGAAGGGAAAACATCAACTGGGCTTTTACCTGGCAGGGAACATGAGGACAAGAGCTACACCACTAAACTCCACAAGGTTCACCGTGTTCCCTGCTAACACTCTGGATGTAAATCATTTACATTACTGCAGTTCCACACAAAGAAATACTTTTTAGTAGCTTTATCAACAAAGTGCTGGGCTCCAAACCCGTGACTTCAACATTTACTTCAACTCACTTTGGTCTCAAATCCTAGGAATACAAGTGGCAAAACCCGTTCTCTCCATCATGTTGGGATGGCTTATTACAGGTTCTTTGTGTCTTGTGAGCTATGAGGGATTGTATTGAGGTCATCCCACCAAAAGGGCAAGTTTTAATAGACTTGGATATGAATCAGATATAAGCCCAGTTCTAATCATACTGGCTACAAGGTAAGCAAGATTAAGCATGTCTTGGCCTCGTACACAGGCAAACTCCAGATGCAATTCAAGATTAATGTGCAAGTAGGAGACAGTCAGTTTTGTCTGACAGATGTGACAGCTGATCCTGCTCGACATGGGCTTCAAACTTTTTATATTTCCCAGAGTAATACCTTTTAGTATTATATTGTTATTGACAGCTGTTATTTCATAAGCTTTTTCCAGGTCAGAAGCTGGGGAGGTGAGTTCCCTCAAAACAGACTGTGAACACATAAGGACTTGGGTCACACTGAGGCCTGCCTATTACTCTTAGTCCATGTTGTCTGCAAAGGCAAATAAAATCATAGGCTAACAGCAGCAAGTGGTGTGGTTAAGATTCTCTTTCTCAGAGCAAGCTCTCAAGATTTGCACATAGTTTCTTGTCTTGTCTAGGAAAATTTGCCATGACCTTCCACAGAAGTTCATGTAAGTACATCTTTCAGGTTTCAGTCTTGCATTAGTGCAACCAACAGTGACAAACCTCTCAAGTCATTAGAAAAGCCCTGAGGGAGAGATTGAACAGCAGCTCACACTGACTTGTTTGTCCTCGCATAGTGCAGACATCAGAGAAGAAAACATTTTCCTTCTTTTAGCCCCAGAAAGGAGTAAGACGTGGACCAGCTCAGTTCTAGGACGAGTCTTATTGTAACACATGTTCCTAGTGCCCTAACCTAGAGACAGATGCCATCTCTGCAGTGCCTGGCTACCAGAAAATCAGCAGCTGTTGTGTTGCAAGTCTGTTCTTCTCAGCAGCTTCCTGACAACAGCCAAACTCAGCCATTAATGGAGACCACAGCCAAGTAACTGGCAGAACAACTCACGTAACATTCACTGCAGATTCACCACTTTCTTGAGTAGCAAAAGCAAGATAAAAGGGAGCTGCAAGGTCAGGTGCCCTGGTGGTAAACCACAACACAGCCCACACTGCTTTCTTGAAACACTAACCCAGGACAACTCACCTGTGCCCTCTTCTTCCCTGAGCCCATTCTCACTTAATCATGAATATTTATGGCAGTTATGCCAGAGACACAGCAGTTCAGCCAGCCAAATAACCCCACATGCTTTGGTCAGCCTTTTCATCCAGCCATTGTGCAATTCCTAAACAGCAGACTTGCCCCATCAGCAAGATTTGCAGGATGCAACTAGAAGAGCAGTAATATAACAGCAGTTTCAAGGTTTAGATGAGGGATGACAGTCTGGGAATGGCACTGGAAGCAAGCCTGAGTGCATACAGAATGTCAGTAATTCTTGAGACTCTTATTTCTTTTAATGTAAGGCAAAACCAACTTTAAACCATGAACTATCATGCCGAAAGGTCTCGACCACGATCCACGTTTCCTCCCTTAAATAGGCAAGTCTAGGGCAGAATAAAGCCCCAGACACTGGTTCATGTGGTACATTTCCAAATGCTTTTGTATGCCATTTGTGCAGGAGCTCACACCGATGAATTACCTCTGACACAAAAGCACCGTGTCCCAACTCAGCAGCATTATAAAAGGAATAACAGCTGAGGAGAAAGGGAGGGATGTCTTTACTGTCTCTGTGCTCCAGGCAAGGCCCTGACACCCTCCCTTGAATAGGGAGAAATCAACAGCACTGCTCAGGCCACATGGAAAAAGATCAGGATTCAGGAACAAATATCTACTGTAGAAGGAGAAGTTCCCCTGGGGTAGCTTATAAGTAGTTTACAGGTAGCTTCTTCCCATGGGAACACCAAGAGGGATGGAAAGGAAGGGAGGAGAGAGGCACTTCTTCCAGCTCCTGTGCTCTTGACAACAAGGGAAAGTTAATCCTGAAAAAAGGGGATAGAGCTAAACACCAGGAGGCTCAGAGTTTGGGGCAGCATTAGGAAAAATTCCTACCAGCCAGACTGAACAGTAAAAAAGCATCCCACAAATTACAGTTTGAGTGCAATTCCAAGGTTTTGGAAGTAGGCGAAAAAGCCACTTCCACTGATCACAGCACAGAGCTGGCAGCCTGAAAGGTCTTTCTGCACAGAAACCCTGAGATCTGGGGCTGCAGGCCAAGCCCCAAGCCACAGAGAAGCAGAGCTCAGCTTCAACTGTGGAACTTATGTTCAGTTCCAATAGACTTCCAAGACAGGAAAGTCTTCTTCCCTAACTTGGAATTTCATTTCAGAATCCTCTAGAAGGGCTGTTCTCCTTAATGAACAAAACCCACAGACCCAAAGGTTTAATGCTCTGTTCTTTGAATTTCATACAAAGGCCAACTCTGTTCTGTAGACAGGTTAAATAAATTAAGTTGTAGAAATGTCTGCTGCTATAGGCTCAGCTCTCTACAGGACAGGATCCCCTGTTAAGGAATAAATATGGACTAATGTGAAATAAAGCAGCAAGATCATTAAATGTTTGGGGTTTTTTAATAATTTACCTGGTTATGAACTTCTCCTCATTGATGAAAACAGAAGGAAGATGCTGTGCTTTCATAGTCACTTTCTTCATTTACTCAGAAGAGATGAATCTAAACAAAAGGTTAGAAAAATAAATATATCCACTAGTGCCACTAGGGGAGACTAAATAGGAATCAGGAGCAAAGCTTTAGTGAAACAGGCTGGGACACTCAAGCTAAGGGCTCACTACACTGATGTTGACTATTTCATACTTTGCCATAATACCCACACATTGCCCACTCCTCGTAAAAAAGCCATAAGCCATTCCCACCAAGTATATACCAGTAACGTAAATTCCAAGTACTACATATATCAGGACTTTCTCAAGCAGTTTTGGGACTACTCCAACCCCATGACTATGCCTCACTCGTTAGCAGTCTGAGTCAGCAGCCCCTGTACCGGTGAGGATCCATTTGTCCATTATGGATAGAGAGCATTGCCCAGGGGAACCGGAACACACCGTACTCAGCAACCCACCCTTCACTGGGTTCCTAAAACTAGGCAAGAGGAGGAGTGTTGGTCCTTAGCAGTGTCCTGCAGCACACTGAGGAAGCAGCTGGGATAGTAAAGAGTGAACGAGGCTGTAATTACAGGGATGTGGCAATACAATTTACAGATCTCCACGTCCTGATTCCATCATGTTGTGCAGGCAACAAGCCAGACCCACGAGACTCCAACAATGCATTCCTCCATAAGCTTAATTACCAAGTCCTGGCTCTTTCCTTCCCCCTCAGGTACTAGAAGGCAGGCTGAGGAGAGTAACGTGACAGACTCAAGACTGCCAACCGATGCCATGATGAAAAAGAACTCCATCTCAGCTTGAGAAGTGGCATCACACACCTGGGGGGGAAGAAAAACCCCCACAGAGATCTCATGAAAAGTAGTAAAATCTCTGAAGATTGCACTGGAAATTATCATTCCACTTTTATGTCTCTTATTTGGGAATGACGACAGAGGAATTTGCCTCACAGCACTCAGTGTCCACCTCCCTTCTGCCAGGAGATGGAGTCGAGTCTGATTTCAGCCTGCATTGGACAGGGCCTGGTCAAAGACATCTGCAAAGTAGTTGACTGCCTACAGTTCCAACAACCAGCAGCTTTCCAAGAATCAATAGAGGAAGCATTCAGGCTGGAATACATCCTGGCTGGGCAAAGAGTAAACACCTCGCTTCTGTGTCCTGCACTACTGAGCTGCTTTTTTAAAGTCACCCAGTTTCCGTAATCATAGATAAATGGCTTCCAAAAAACATATGTGGACAAATGGGATGTTTTGCATGTAAAAAACATGATCTTCACCCTACAAAACACACAGGAAGTTGTTTCACGACCTCTAAAACCAGAGTGCACTACCAAAATGAGCTTTACCTGAGCAGCTGGGGTTTCTAGCAGTGCTCACTGAAAGGAACAGCACTCCCTTTGTCCTTTGGTGACATCCATCAAAACAAAATATGGCCTGTACCAAACAAGCCCAGGGACTTCTATACAGACATCAGTTTGTGTGTGAGGAATACACTGTGTACACCAGAGTTGAGGTTTTGCCTCTGAAATAAGTTCAGTAACCACTTGAAATCTGATTTCATGTGATTTACTGAGACCTCTAACTGAAGCAGCTGCCTGTGCCAGTGTAGTTGCAAGCCAATTTTACCAGATGCAGAGGAGTTTATGTACATTGGCACCTGAATAACTGCATACACACTTAAGCTTTCTCCTTTCTGTCAGGAAACAACATGCTTGGAGCAGTGGAGAACCAAGTCACCTCTTATTAACCAGGGAGTAGTGACGCTGGCAAGCTCCAGCACCACTCACTGCTTGTGGCTGCACTCTTTTCTATACAATTTGTCCTTAAAACGATTCATCTGAAAGGAAAAGCTGATCTCTACAGATGGAGAGAAGTGATCTTTACACACACAGAAAACAAAGGAGATGAACCTGTTCTGCTACACAGTGGGTGGCTCCTAGTAAATTATTTGCCTTAAACATACTAAGCAGATCTTAAATCAGCTAGATGCCATTACAATGTTGAAAATAAAGCTAGCTGGAAGAGTAGGCGGTGACAGGAATAGTTCTTAACCAACATCTCTCCCTTGTCTGTCCCTCACTGCCCCAATACCCAGGACAAAGACTTCTCTCCTATAGCTGGCACAACAGCACAAAAACTTCCACTGGGTTTTTTTTTCAGTTACGTGACCAGCTCTTATCAACCTTGTACCAAACACTTCCACACCACCAGCCCACCCAGAGACAAACCACTTCTCCCTGTACCCTTCCCATGGGCACATTTTGGCTGCACATGTCCCATAGCCTTTATTTTTAACCAAGCCCGAGATGTGCAGACTGAGACCACGCAGTGACTTCCCCAGCACAATCACCCGACACCACAGATGTCAGGATATTTGCACTGGCGCTCCCTAAGTCCACAAAGCTGTTGGATTTTCTATCACCTCCTGGTATTTTACTGTTTTCTGTGTCACTTCCCTGTAGCTCTTTTGAGGAAGCAAATAGGAGAAATTAAATGGTTTCCACTGCTCCCTTGGATCTGAACTAACCAAACCATGCCAGTTTTCCAGCTCTTCTGACAACATATGGCTGTGCCATCTATTCAAAGCCATCTCCTGATGTGGTTGGTGTCACACAGGTGTCTTTACCATTACGTTAAACTGGACTACAAGCACAGAATTCCCTCAGGTAACACCTGGAAAGTGGGATCTTGGCTGGACTAACCTCCTGACCTGAGACTTAACCAGGAAGAAATATAATGCTTGGAGGAAGACTGACTGAAGACTAAACTACTTTGAAAGGGAAGAAAAAGGAAGGCAAAGTCAGCAGTAAATAAGAAGCATGGCAGATGCAAACTGAGCATGTCTAGAGGAAGCCTGCAGCCATTGGAGAAGTCTAGGAAAAGGAAAGAAAACTGACCACTACCACAATCCCAAAGCTGTGAGACCATCAACACTCCCATCAGGGCACAAGACAAATCTTGCAAAGGTAGTGAGCTTAACTTTTCTCTGGAGCTTTATATCTTACCTGAACTGCTTTTTTTTCCAAGATAAAAGCCAAGTGCCAGTAGAAAGGCAGCTGAGAGGACTCATTGCACTTCATTCAGTGCAGTGATCCTTAAGTCATTCGCTTAAGGGGACAGCCCAGGGACAGGACAGTGGAGGAATGACACAGCAAAGCGAAGTGCAAAGAGCTACACAGATTTTTACACAAAGAAAAAGAGGCAGCTGCAGAGGAGGGCTGGGAGGAGAGGGACACCTGAGACACACAATGAGCCAAGCAGGAGCAGCAATGCAGCACCTTAATTTGTGTCACAGCCTGGATGTGCTTTTTGGTGCATCCATAAATTATGACAGGAACAGCAGAGTGTGCAGTGTGCCACGCTGAGCTCCTACCAGTGGAGACACACTAAAGCCCCAAACCTCCACAAAGATCTCCAGGTATTTTGACCCAGTGCTTCCCAAAGCTCTTCCAAACCCACAGGAAAACAGGATGGGGTGAACCTTTTCCTTTTCTTGTATGGAAGCCACAAGGCTCAGCTGTCTGTTAACTCAGCTATCAATTCCATCCACATGGAATAGTTTGTACAGCAAGAAGCTTTGCACCATAGGCACAACAGCACATCCAAGTCATTTTCTAAACTCACAGGTGTCTGGTATTTAGCAAAATTTTGGAGCATTACTGGTTTCTATAAAGATGAGTTTAGGATTTATTCACATGGATAAATTCAATATTAGCAGCATAATTTTACTAGTCACATAGTCTAGTTGTGAGCCCTCATGTTGACTTTTTTTTTCTTTTTGTTTAAGTTAGATGTCCCTGCCATCAAAAAGTTTTAATTAGAACAAAGTACTTAACCTGAACAATTGTGTTTTCCCCACTGAAAACAAGGGGGTTGTTTTTTCCTTGGTCTTTCAGACTTCTTCACACTTTATTTGAAAAGTCAGCTGCCCAGTACGGAGCAGTAAGAGCACTACCTGATTTCAAATCACAGATAAGCCCTCTGGTCAGGCAGGCTCACAACGGGATTTGGTTGCCAAAACCAGCAGCAAGGTGGTGTTTATCTGAATACGTGCCAGTCACAACGGAGGAGATCCACAAGTTCCCTCCCCTCACACATCGATAGAGCAGGGCTTGCAGACGTTTCAAACACTAAGTAACTCATTATTATGAAGTGAAGTTACTTTCTGGTTTGGGCCGCTTAGCACAGACCGTTTTTACCCGCCAAAAAGAACACCCAAGGTCACTGATCAACCTTCGAAATCACAGCGGCCACTGAATGCAGGGCAGAGAAGGCTTGTGCCCATGGACACACGGAGCAGCAGCACGATCTATAACCCGCCTGTTTCAGTCTCAGCTGACTCACAAACCCCCTAAGCGGGAGGTTCTGCTTTGACGAGAATTTCTGAGCGAGCATCTCTCCTTCCCTCCGGCACCCGAATTAGCCCAAAGGAATCGGACTGGAGCTCCGGGTGGCTGCGAAGGACCTTGCTTTCCCCTGCCACTACAGCTTACACTGCAAGCAGAACAGCTCCAGCTTTCCATTGCACTCACCTGGGCGTGCGATCCAAGGAGAAGTTTCACACACCTTTCCCTGAGCCCCGGCAGAGGCATGACAGCATGGCCCCGGCTGACAGCTTCCTCGGCTGCCCCATGGAAGCCGCGGGGCTGCCGGTTACTATTTTGCTTGAACTGGGAGTGCTGGAACCCCAGGACACTCCCCGCACCTCAGTGCATGTCGGGAATATTCACCTACACACTTTCCTTCCTCCAAGCGCTGACAGGAGCGCGCCCTTAGTCACGGTTACACCTCTAGGAAGCTCCGGTTAACACTTTAATCACTAACTTCACGAGGGAGAGGCAACCTGCTGACTCCCGGGAATCATCTGCTGGCAGGACACACTCTGAAACATCCAGTGCCCGAAGCGCTGTTATGCTTTAACCTCTTCTGTTTTCTAATCCATTGGATAAAGTAAGTTTTCCTTCAGATACATGCCCATCTCCAGCATTTGGTGGAATAACTGCTACAAACCATCAGATCATGCCTAAGTGTAGATACATGGATTTATAACGTTATGATAGAAATTGTGACAGCACAGCTTGATCCCTCCGCCACACACAGCTGTGTAATCCATTTTTTTGCTGAACTGTATAATAACCTCATGAATATTACTCATTGGGCAAGAGTTGTATCTGTAAGAGGGAAAGGATTGCCACTTAATTGCTCAGCAGGTAATTGTATAAGCAGATGTTTAGGCTGGAAAAAAAATATTTGAACCAAGACATACCTTCCCAGTTCCTACTGTTTGCCCATCCATTTACAACAAGCAGTTTATTCACCAGATCAAACGCAAAACTGGAAGTTACTGGGCCGCAGAGAAGAGCATGAAAAATGCCAGGCCTGAATTTCCCTTCACACCCATCTTCTTGCACTGCAATTGATATCAAGTTGCTTCTGCTTTATATAATTTGATGCTAGGGACAGGCAGAACAGACTCAAATATTTGATTCCTGATCTTATCCTCCGGTGTATTCCTCTCCAGAGCCAGACACGCTGCCACACACCCCCCACTGTACACCTGGTATTTGGGATTATAGTTTGTGTTGCAGTTTCTAGCTCTGCTCCTCAAAAATATTGACATATGGATTTTACTGGTACATACAACATTGGGAATCTCTCAAAACACAAGAGGGGAGCAACATGCAAGATCTTTTACTTGATTCGCAACAGCACAGAATCTCCATGCTGTGGTGGCATTGGAGCTTCACGCCAAACTCAACCTTGGGAGCTGTTCCATCTCATCCATAATTGCTTAACACAAATCCACACAGCTTCCCAGCTGGTGTAAAACCAGAGGTTTGATTTTTCCTGTCCCACCTTCAGACACTTGGGCACGCTGCCTGATTCTCCGGGATCAGAGAGCTGGAGCAGAGATCTGGGGCAGCCTGACCCCTTCAAGGCTCTAACCCAAGATAACATCAAACATCTGTTTTGGACAAGTCTGCCACCCCACTGGACACTCACACCGTGAAGCTCTTGGGTGCCAGGAGGTACAGACCACATTATTAGCTTCCAACAGGGCAATGTGATGGTAACACCCCAGGGTAAATCAACCTTCATCCTGACCCTGAACTTTTAAACTTAAAAAGCAAACTAAACCTTAAGTTTCTAGGGATAGCTTTTCTTTTTGAAGTTTAAAAGCAAGTTTTGAAAACCCAATGCTTTTATTACTTAGATTCATGCAAAGATGTCTCAGTAAGACATTAATATAATAAAGCAACAAACCCTCTAATTGTGGTAAAATCCTACGGTTCCATTAAAACCAGGCGTGTTGATTCTTACCTTGGCTTGGACAGTGTGGCTGCAGTTTGTTTCCAGTTTTCTTTCTCACACTTGAACTGCTCCTACCAATGTCCAAGTTTTGATCTCATCTGAGTCATGCACAATTATCTGGTGAGTACTTTGGAGGGATGGGTCAGTGCAGACTAAGAATAGGTATCTCATGGGGAGGGGAAGCAGGTCTTTAGGGCCACAGAGCAGAAACTAGCTCACCGCAAACTCCAAGAAATGGAATGCTTTGATTCCTTTCATAAAAATTAAATAATCAATGCACAAAGACGATTACTTTTTCATCTTTCATAATGAACATAGTTTACATGCCCTGGAAATCTGTGAACAAGTCACAACTCGGTTATACTATTTCACCTCTTAAGCAGAAGGGTAACAATAATTCCTTTAGAACAGGCAGGGAATGTGATGGTCCTGGAGACTTTGCAGGCTGTGCTACATTTCTGCTCCTTGAATAATTCATGGCTAGGCTTCTTGAACGGAGATTTGGGAATAATTAATAACCAAATAATTTAATAACCAAATAAGTTAATAAGTAATTGGAAGTTGGAGTTGAGCTGTTTAATAACTTGGCCTCAAATCATTAACAAAGTGACTGCTAAAGATAGGAGAGAACCTCGAATGGGGAAAGCAGAGATTCCTGTTCTATTTTTGTAGTAGACAATCACAATAAGGAGGCTGCCATAGCAGCACCACGCACACGTGCTGCACTTCAGTGGAAGGGCTTTGATAAACACTTAAGATTCCTCTGCTCTGTAGCAAGAAGGAAAATCCCTAATCCTATTTGCAAATACCTATTTCTAGCCAACTCATTAACTCCAAACACAGAAAATTCTTCTTGGGCTTTCTGAGCCAGCTACTCTAATGCAGAGGGAGACCCTCAACTGACAAGATCTGAAGTTATCATAAAACAAGTGATCAATCTCTCCCTTTACATTACAAAAGCTACCAGGGGAGTGGCATTGGTCATAGCAACAAATCAAGGAATTTAAAACAGGATTTACCCTGCAAAGGGCCCCCCAGTCTTTAGCAAGATTATCTTCTGTCATCACACCCAAGTGCCAACAGCAATACTTGTGTGCCAGGACATGTTCTGGAGCCACAGCTGATAAGCACAGAAACCAGAAACAGGGGTAGCAGATGATTAGCTCAGATAATTAAATACACAATGCACACAGCCACTACAAAGGCTTATGTACTGTCATGGGCCATAATCCCTCACACATACCATTTGGTGGACTTTGGGGGCCATGAGTTTTTAAGGAATAGAAAAGGAACAGAGCTGATGCTTGCAGCATCACATAGGCTAAAGGCTATGGTTTTGGACAGCACATCAAGAACTGGAACTTGCCAGGTACTGACCTTTGCCTGCATGGAAAGCAGCTTGCCAGTCTCACTCTCATTATCTTTGTGAGTCACTGCTGGATGGCAGGTCCAACCTGAGCATCTGGAACACCTTTAGTCATGCCTCGTGCCTGGCATTGATTATCCACACCCATGAAGTCATCCATGAAATATTATAAGACTTCAGAAACGCACACAGGATTTTCACTGCCTGGAGCTACAAAATTCCATAGAGGGCAGAACCAGAAGGAACTGCCCTGTCCCAAAGAGCTACAGTCATACAGCTTGTCACCCATTACAGCTCAGCCAGGAGTAAAATCACCACCTTATCACACCCAGCCAACTTGCACAGCACTTACAAGCTGTAACTCCTTCACACTCAGCGTTTCCAGACACAGATTTTTCTTAAGTCTATGAAATGTGATTTCCTCCATTTTTTTTTTGTAAGTCACTCTATATCTGGACGATTCTGTCTTCAAAATAGAAAACCCCTATTGACTTGTTTATGTTGCCTTATGTACAAATTATGTACAAATGGGGGGATTCAATTTGAAAAGTACCACACAGCAGAGCCTCTCCTGTACAGACGAGGGGACAGTTTGTCCCTGCAGCAAAACACACTGAAATATGTTTCAGTGGTCCTTACATATGCAACAATTAGTGCAATAAAAGCGTGAGGAACAGCTCTCTCTTGTTTCAGCTCTGTGGTTATGGAGCAAGGGATCACAGGCTGCTGGGCACAGGGGAATGTGTGGCAGTCACGGTGTGTCTGAGCAGCCCAGGCTCCTGAGCTCACAGCCCCTGCACAGTGCAGACGTTCTTCACCGCACGCGTCCTGGCTCTGAAGGGCACACAGCGCTGCACTGTGTGCTGCTGAGCACAAACCACTCCAGTGATACCCCAAACTGCCGGCATGCTGTAAAACCAGCAACATCTCACACCTGAAACGTGTCTCCATAATGAATATTGAAAGTGACAGTCAGCAAGTAACAGCTCTGAAGTGCATCAGAAAAACTGTTCAGGGAACTGACTGTGTAATTTGTGCACTGCATTAGACATCTAACGAGACAGTAGAGCAGATGATCTAGAAGCATCCCTGGCACTTATTTATGAATTTCCTCTTGAAAATGTCACAGGAGCACAGATAACACTGCGTAGGAGAAAGTGCAAAGCAGAACAGGTCGGGGCTGACTCACCTGGGCTCTGCCCTGGGCTAGGTGGGTTGAGCAGACCACTGTGACTTCCTCTCTAAGAAAGTTCACCCTCTGACACAGACATTCCTCAACTCTGCTCAGTCTCCTCACTGAAAATCACCCCTCAGACACTGCAGCTGCTTGCTCTGCACTGCTCCTGGCCTTCCATAATGCTGCTTTTCCGTTACAATATCAAACAACCCCTTGGGGCATTCAGCTGTCGAGCACGTTTTACCAAGAGTAAATACATTTATATACTTACTGTGGCACATTCCTATTCTTCTTCTCCCGAGTGTCTGATTGTATGGATCACATTTTTCTTCTCGCTCAGATATTCAAGGCCCAAATGCTTTTGAGTAGGATCCTAGAGCACAGGGTGGCACTTATGTGTCCCCTTGAGGGCAGAGGCGGTGGCATTTCAGTGGCATTGGAGGAAACAATAGTGTCTCTAACTTTGAAGGGCCAAACCCTGCCAGTGCCTGGCTCTTACACTTACAACCTACACTAGGTTTTATGGGAATTAACAGGGCTAAAATCTGATCTAATTGTTGAGGGCATCTGAATGTCTTTCTGGCCTAGAAGCGCTTTGGAAAAAAAAGTCCAGATGAGAATAGAAGCACATGGAACATGGTGGGATATCCAACCACTACCTGATTTGGACTATGAGCTCTGCCAGTGCCCGTGTAAGGCAACATAAACAAGTCAATAGCTGTTTAGGAGATGCTGAAATTCTGGAAAGATTCTTCCCTGCACAGTGGTTTGGAGGGTGTGTCTTCCAGTTTGGAATTTATCCGTCTGAAACTGTCATTCTGAGCCCCGTGGGCAATACCTTGCTTCTAGCCAGTACACATGTCCTTACAAGTGAAGAATCTGAACAAGCTGCCCACGGGGAATGCAGATTCAACTGCTGGGATGGTATTGTCCCAGCTTTTACAATGCACACAGGAAACCACAGGCTGCTGGGTGACATATGTGCCAGCGTCCAACAAGAGGATGGTCAATCAGCTAAACAGCTGCATAGAAATAAAAGTGTCTTTAAGACTCTAAGCTGGAAGTTGAGCTCGCCCTGATCTGTGCAGAGAGCACAGGTTCTAACAGGTGCAGGAATGGAAGCAGTTTCAGGCACGAAATGTTATGCAAAAATTATTGCAGAAACAGGAACTGCATCTGAGGAGTAAATGTCCAGCTGACTCCTGGAGGGGTATGGCCAGGGAGCTGAGTGCTCATGTCACAGAGCACCTGTGTGCTGCTGTCAGCTCAAAGCACTGCAAGAGTTGCCGCTGAATTTTCAAGCCTTTATTTACAGCAACACATTTCAGCACTTCTGACACTTTTGTGACAAGTTAAGGATTATCTAGTGAAATACCCTGAAATCGAAGCCTCACAGACCAACAAATATTTTTACAAGATCGATGTGAATATTTAAGCCTGGCATCACTCCTGACATCCAGCATCACAGGTTTGCACTGAAGTGACAGTGTTTTCCAAAGAGGGACAATCTTTGCTGGTCAGAGACAGCTGCCCTTGTCACCTGAAATGTCATCAAAGGTGACATTCTTCTGGGCTTGGATCCTCCTGCTTCCACTTCCCCCAGCACTGAGGAAGGCCCTGCCAGGTGCGGCATACGCCTTTTCCCAGTGTAACAGACTTTGTACAGGAATTACACATGCAGATCTCCATGCTGGAAAAGGAAAAGCAAGATCTCTCTCCGTCAGTGCTCTGAGGGCAGTGATTCACCTTAATGATCCTGGTTTGCGTCACCTGGGAATTAAAATTTTGTAACTTAAAAGTTGTCTTGCAAAATGTATATTTTATACTTAATTTACATGTTGAAATAAAAAATGTCGCTTGGATTTTGTTAGGAGTTCTTGTGAATGTAATGTCTCCCAGCTCTCCCTTGGCTTGCCCATCTTATGTTTTTCTTTAGCTCTATTTTCCAGCAAGTCAGTTTCCAGAAAAACATGTTATTGCAAGTCTTCCCTGGTACATAAACTGAATAAAAGCCATTATATTCAAAAGTTTGACATAGAGATGATGTAACAAAAGTTATGTCATATGCCAACTCCTTATCTCACACTGAGCTAGTTCCTTAGTACTTGACCTTTTCGCGACTGTTTAGACTATAAACGTTCCTGATGACACATCTGTTAGCCTCTATCCAGAAAAAACCCACTATTGCAATATAAGCACTAGTAATTATATCAAACTGAAGCCAGCAGCGCTGTGACAGAGGCCAAGACTGTTGGGTGTTTAATTAGGCTGCAGTGCCGCACAAGCACCACAAGACGGCGCCATCCCAAGCCCGCAGCGCTTCCATGGAACCATAGACGGGTTTGCACTGGACTCACTCCAGCGGGTCCATATCCTTCTTGTGTTGGCTGAAGAATTAATTTTGACAAAAGTCTGTATTTAACGTGGTGAAGTTGAAATAAATGTACTCTCCCACTGG